ACATCTTCAGTCCTGTCAGAAGTCACATTCCAGACATGAGTGTCAGCAATAAGGGTGATCAAATACGAAGGAAGCCAGATGAATTCGATGGAAAGGCACTATGGGAAGCATATAAAGCACAATTTGAGCTACTGGCAGAAATGAATGGATGGACAGTGGAGCAGAAAGCAGTGTACCTGGCAACGAGCTTGAAGGGACAACCAATGGAAATACTTGGACAGTTGTCAGGAGACGACAGGCACAACTATAGCGAACTGATGGCTGCTCTAGAGCTAAGATATGGAACTCAAAATCAGTCCGAAGTCTACAGGGCTAGATTTAGGACGAGAGTCCATGTTACAGCCTGCAAGAGCTGGCACAGAATTTGGAAATATGGCGCACAAGGCCTACCCAACTGCACCACCTGATGTCCCCAAGCTGTTGCTGAGGGATCAATTTTGTAGATGCCTTGGACAGTCCACAACTGAAGTTACAAGAAAAGTAAGCATACCCCTCTACTGTGCAGGATGCAATGGCCAGACCTCTTGAATTCGAATCCATATTAAGTCCAGCACAGAGGTACCAAGGTTGGTACAGTCATTAGGATTCAAGACCAAAAAGGGCAGCTTTCAAAGAGGCTTGAGGGACTTTGCTGGCATTGTAACAAAACTGGGTACAAGAAACCTCAATGCCGGCAACTTCAAAACAGGGAAGATGCCACAGCAGGAGAGGCTGCTACCCAAAAAGGTTATTGGAAGTGTGGAGAAAAAGGACATATGAGGAGCCAGTGTAAGAATACTACTAGTCGGCCTCAGGGAAACCAGTAGTGGTTCCTGTTGAGGGACGCCTACCAACACCCATCATGGAAGTCCCAACAGCTAGGTGTAAAATGGAAAGCACACATAGTGTCTACGTGACAGGAAAGTTGGATGACCAAAGGTGCAACTTTGTCATAGATTCTGCATCTTAGCAAACCCTTGTGAGTATCAAGATGCTGAATCACAAAGTAGTACCAGAAGCCATACAGAAGCTCTGTGGTGTGACAGGACATTCTGTAAAGTTGTGGGGACCAGTGTGGGGAACTATTAAGCTCATGGGCATGAAGAAAAGACAGAAAGTATACTTGGCTGACATTGAAGACCAATGCATATTACGATTGGACTATTTAATCCCAAGGAAGTTTGTGATTAATTTTGATAAAATGACGTTTGGGAATAACAAAGTGTAAAAAGGGAGGTTGAACTAACCAGGTGCCATCAAGCTGAAGTCAAAGTGACTGAAGGAGTTGATAATGGTGAAGTGGAACCAAATATAGATATTAAAGCAGAACAAGAGAAAGACCAAGATTTGAATCCAATAATTGATTTTATAAAAGCAAGTGTTTTGCACCCTGCTTGGGAGAAGGTGTCTAGCTTAAACCCTATCTAGCTTAATTGGGCACAATGGGACCAGTTGAAGCTTGAAGATGGTATTCTTCTCCAGAGATGGGAAAGTGGCGACTTGGCAAACGGTTATGCTGAGAAAGTTAAAGGAAGTTGTGCTGCGTCAATCCCATGATAGTTTAACAGGAGGACATCTCGGAGTTAAGAAGACATTGATTCACCTACGACACAGATTTTACTGGATAGGTATGAGACAAGATGTGGAAGAATGGTGTGGAACATGCAGTAGATGTTGTGCTAAAAGGGGACCCAACCATAAGGGATGTGCTCCAATGAAGTTATATCAAGTTGGTGCACCGATGGAAAGAGTAGCCATTGACATTGCTGGTCCTTTGCCCAAAACTCGTGAAGGAAACAGGTACATTTGTGAGTGATGGATTATTTCACCAAGTGGCCTGAAGCATATGCAATACAAAATTAGAAAGCTACAACAGTAGCCTCGGCTATAATGATTTCTTTTTCAGATTTGGTATGCTATACGGAACTGCATTTAGATCAAGGCAGTAACTTTGAATCAGCTGTGTTACATAAATGCTGCAAGTTGTTTGGCATATGAAAGACCAGAACAATGCCACTTCATCCATAGTCTGATGGAATGGTAGAAAAGTTCAACTGAACACTGGGACAGGAATTGGCAAAGTTTTGTAATAGCCGCCAAGATGACTGGGATGTCTTACTCCCTCCACTGTTGATGGCCTATAGAACAGCAGAGCATGAAGCCACTGGACACACTCCAGCAAAGTTATCTTATGAAGAGTTATCCTGAAAATATGTCAGAGTTTGTGAAAATGTTATCGGAAAGGATGGATGATATTTACCATCAAGTGCATTCAAATTTGAAAATGTCTGCTGATTCCATCAAGCTATGTTATTGTTACACCTCAGTTCGTTAGTAGATTTTCCGTAAAAATTCTTTCTGAAGAAACTTTAGTGATACAAGTCCTTTCTTAAATAAAACTGGTTTATTCTTTCTGAATACAACTTTGCAATACACTTAATTTCCACAGTCATGCTATAACAAATGCTATAATTCACAACAAATGTCTCACGTGCTCGACTCAACTGTCAATTACACATTACATTACCTTCATGCCGTCACTTCTTGGCGGCTTACATATACTAGACTATCGCATATCTAGTAGCCTCTCGAGACTTCACGAACCTTCGAGAATATGACGTGTTACTAGGGTTAAGTGACCCCCGCTGTCGTAACACTGCCCCTTCCTTAGTATTGTTCGTCCCGAACAATAGCCACTTACATTAAACCAATAAACAATTAACAATAACT